AAAAATACCAATATGTTTGATTTGTTCCAGCAACGGCACCTGATTCAAGAATAATTCCTTAATGCTTACTTTTTAACAGGAACTATTTCAACTAGAGAGTTAACAACAATCACCCTATCAGATATAAAAGATGGAATAGGATCAATTTATCTCATTTTATATATGCCTTTATGAAATTATTAATCTTACTTAACCATTTAAGTAGATCACTTCCATTAAGCCAAAGGTTTTTTAGCTCTTGGGCAGCAAAATAAATTAGTAATATACTATTGGGTACTGCTTTAGTAAGTTATTGTTAGGAATATCTATATAAATGAGCAGTATGTAATAGTTAAAAGATTAATTACTATGATACATATATACGGTGAAACACACACACATGCATACACATTTAATAATTTCAGCTAATAATGCTTATTATTTCTATTATTTCGTGAAATTAATTAACATATGGATAATTTGTATTTTATAAAATTAGTTAGAAACTTAGTTATGCAGGGATACATGTGAGTAAAAAGCAAGCTAATAAATCAAATTAATAAAATATAATAATAGTTGCTATAAGACTAAAATCCATTCCAGCAAAATAAAAAGACCTTTAATATAGATACTACCGAAAAATTACAAACTTGTTTTTCTATTCTTCTTTGTGGATGGATACAGAAGGACACAGTTCTTAGAAGAAACTGAAGCAAATTTTTACGATGTGGGAATAAAAAAAACCCCAATTGTTAGAACAATGTTCTGAAAGTTAGGTATGAGCATGGCCAAATGTCAGGTTGCCTAAATGGAAAAGTAAGAGCAAGGAGAACTTTCTTGAATAAGCTAATTCCAGAATGAAACTTGACTGAATGTCTTACAATCAAGGACTCTCACAGCCTTGTGAACAATCCTGCCAGGTAATTGAACCAGGTCAGGAGAAGTTAATTCAGAAGATGGGTTCAAATGTACAGTATTTCAATTCATGTAATTCAGAAAGTAATGTAGGCATTTTCTCTTATAAATAAATTTTTAAAACTTTTTGCTAATTAAAAAGTTTTTATGTTTCGATCTCTGTGCAATAGCCCTTCTTCTGACTTAGATTACAATTGAAGCAAAATTGAACATGATGCCCGTCTTTTTTCTCTCCTATTATCTGACACACACAACATTATAGAAATGTATGTTTGATCAAATATTTAGTTGAGTTAGGATGATTTAAAACGTCATGCAACGTTGTATTTCTGTTCAGGGTGAGTGATGTCATAATGCACTATAACATATTATTCTTTTTAATTTTCTATTTTCAGTCTTTATGAGAGAAAAGTTCTCCTAATCCAAGGATAATTAATAGGATAGGCTGGAATTTTTTCATGTCATTGTACTCTTTGTCTCACCTTAATCAGTTTAAGGACCTTAATCTAAGGGCTGTTGACATGGAAGATTGTAGTCCTCCAGGGAAGCTCTTGCATTTTCTAATATGTTGAGCATTACAGTGATTTAGAGGTTATTCATAATTTCTGAATAGGGCATAACACTTGCTTAGGAACAAAAGGGGTTTCAGGGAAGGGAGGGAGGGAGGGAGGGACCATAATATGGTTTTAATTTTTTTAGCAACAGATATTTTATTGGACAAAAATGTATGAATTGAAAAATTGCTTATCTGAATTATTATATGTCTGTTATATAAACCAACCATGCCATTTTCATTATATTCCATTCTGTTCATTTTGTTTATTTAGCCCTAAGAATTTTAAGCATTCTGTGCCAATCATGGTAAATTTTTACTGACTTTAGCATTTATGTCAGAAAATCCCTACTATGTTTACTTGAGTTATGGTTCAGATAACATTTTCTTAACTTGAGAATGTTTCTCCTGCTGCTGCTCATTTTTTATTAAAGTTTAAACAGAGTATTCCTTATTTGTATGTCTTTGAGAAGGCTACTTTAACATCATTGCTGCTGTTTTAAAAATAAGATTGTCTTGACAGTTATCTAAGTTATAAATTTCCAGTGGATATTTGTCAACTGATTTATTTTATACATTAGAAAGATCATAATCTAATAAGATTCTAAGCTGAAAAGACTGAGCTTTGCACACCTTAGAGTAAGAAAGAATGATTGGTTGAAGGACTATAATTTTGTCATTTTGTCATTTTGTTGAGCACAATATTGCTAAGGCCTATTCTGTACATGTTCAAATGGATGCTTTTTTACTTATTTGTCATATTCTAGATTTTTCCTAAATTGTTTGAATCAATATAAATCAGACTGGACCTACTCTCCTGTCTAATACATTTCAATCTTTCTGGTAAAATGTAATATTTAATATTTTTGTACAGATTTTTTGCTTAGTCCTTCTTAAGTATTGATACCTTAGTATTGATTCCTGGAACCTCCTTTCCCATCCCCATCTTCAATTATGAAAAGTGATAATTGTCTGAGAATTATGCATTCTAATAAATAAACTTTCACCTTGTATACAAAACACTTAGAAACATCACCAAAATAGCTACTGCTTTGCACAATATGAAAGTAGGGAAATAAATCACCTGGGATTATCTGTGACCACATACATAGTATAAAAAAAAGTTAAAAACCTAATATTGCCAATCAGAAAACTTCAGAATTCTTAATGCTATACAATTTATAATATACTCCAACATTTAAATCATATATATTAGGGAAAGCTGAATGTAAAATGTGTATATTAGAAGACCTATGTGCAATATATTAGGAGGTTACAATTCTGCTATTTCACAATAAAGTTAAGCAATATAATTCCATTAATATATTTTTCTCTGTTAATGAATATTCTACTACATTGCACATATATTAAAATCAAAATAAAAAACTTTAAAGAAAATGAAGTTGGAAGAATATTTCTACTTATCATGATAATTCTTCAAGCAGAAATTCAACTGATCCAAATATAACAATGATTACTAGAATCATACCTGACAGCTTTCTGCCTAAATTATATTAATTTAGTTATTTTATTTATTTATTTATTTAATATAATTTGAATGACGCCCTATCTTCGTAGGACTCAGAGCTGCTCACAACAAATAAAAACCACCCAATAAAACATAAAATACATAAGTATGCATACAGAAAATACATAAATGTATAAATATATAATTTAAACATATATTAAAACCCATTAAAATAATCAAAAAAAACCTCAGTCCAGGCTGGGCGATGTGAACAGCCATGTTTTTAATTCGCGGCGGAAGGTGCAAAGGTCAGGAGCCAACCAAAGCCCCAGGGGGAGTTGATTCCAAAGAGTGAGCGCGCCCACAGAGAAAGCTCTATCCCTGGGGGCCGCCAGCCGACATTGTCTAGCCGACGGCATCCAGAGAAGGCCCTCCCTGTGAGAACGCACCAGGCGATGAGAAGCCATTGCTGGCTGCAGATGGTCCGACAAGTATCCTGGGCCTAAGCCATGTAGGGCTTTATAGGTCATCACCAGCACCTTGAATCTCACCCGGAGGGAAACCGGTAACCAATGCAAGTCACGTAGGAGAGGTGTAACATGGGAGTATTGGGACCCTCCCATCACAACGTGCGCAGCCGCATTCTGCACCAGCTGAAGCCTCCGTGTGGTCCTCAAGGGCAGCCCCAGGTAGAGAGCATTATAGTAGTCAAGACGGGAGGTGACTAGCGCATGATGTTATCATTCCATAACATTTGTTGAAGCATATATTTTTGATATTTATTTAATACATGTAAAATATGTCATAAAACACTGATGTAAAAGAAATAGAAACTGGAATAAACAATTACTGAGAGAAACTTCAACAATTTCAGATAGTGTATGTTGATGAAATCACACTTTTAGTTTGAAGGAAGAATTATTAAACAAATTCACTGTGAAAGGTGAAAGAAGTACAAATTTAATGCTGAGCAGTAATTTCTTTAAATAAAACTAAGACCTGGGTGATTGTTCAAGTGCAGCAGGGGTGGTTCTACTTACCTTTACTACCGGTTCGCAACGGGGCCATGCTGATCTGTCCCCGTCCACACACACACACAAACACAACCAGCCGAGGGTTAAGGAAACACTTTGGCACACACCCAGGTCTTTATCTCCAACTTGGCAGCGATTTACACACCGTCTGCCAAGTGCGTTTATTTCCACAAAACAGAAAGATAAGATACTTAGCGTACAAAAGTCCAATCAGAATAATATTCCTCTCAGCAGTGTCCGGACGAGGCTTTAGTGACTATCCAAGGTTTACTTTTGTTCGTCACAAGGATCACTGGCCACCACCCTCTATTATATAGTCTCTGGGGTGTGGTCCAGTGACTCAGTTCTAATCCCTAGCATGCCTCCTGAGCTGCTGCAATCGTTTATCACGCCTTCGGAGGCGTGCGTCCAGGAATGATGTCTCTCGCTCACTCTCATCTGAGCCACCTGTCTCCCTGCTAATCTCCTCTCCCTCGGCCGGCACCTGAGACAGTGCCAGAGGGGAGGGGCCTGGAGAGGGAGGCCTGGCTGACTCCTCTTCCTCATGCTCAGAGCTTTCTTCCTCCGATGGGACAGGCTCAGAGGGCGGGGCCACAACACATGCACACATGTGCGCGCTCTTCTGTGCATTTTCATGACTTCAGGGACAGTGGGCAGGGCCTCCCACTGGTTTTACTACCGGTTCTATAGAACCGGTGCAAACTGGGGACAACCCACCACTGAAGTGCAGAGAACCTGATATTGTCAATGCCATAGATTTTCCAGTTGTAAAATATGGCTGTGAAAGCTGCATTAGAAATGCTGAACAACAGCAGCAGCAGCAACAACAACAGATATGTCTATTGAATTGTTGTGCTACAGAAAATTGTTGAGAAAAAAATTGCACATAAAAAACTAGACCAACCAATCAACCAACTGATATTAGAAGAAGCAAAATAAAGCTGCTTTTTTTTAGAAATTCTGATGCAGATCTTTTGAATATAAAGGCAAACATAGAAAATTGCAAGCTATTGAAAACAAGGTGAACAGAAGAGAAATTGGCTAGATGTCATTGATGATGGAAGCATGAATTTATTTGAAATCAAAGGAATTCCGAATAGATGAGCCTGATGAAGTGCTGTCCATTGAATTACAAAGAGCTGGAAAGGAATGAACAAAATATCATTAACTATACTGGGAGCATTTAGTAAAACTGAAGTTCTTATAATACTGTGTCGTGTTTTCCCTTCTCCTTCTGCTATAGGAATAATCACATCACTGGTATGTCTATGAAGTGATTAGTGGAGTCTCATAGCTTCCATCTCATCTAAGCTTATATTTAATTTGAAATACCATTTTTCACTTTGTCTGAAAGGAATGATATGTCTAAATCCAGTAGAGTTTACAAAGCATAGTATGTTTGTTCATAGCTTATGTTCTTGGCTTTTATGTGCTTAATTTTCAAACTGCTGCTTTTTGCAGCATGATTGCAAATTGGAATTGTTCTGATATGTTTAACATAATCTTAAACTTATTTTTAAGTGAATATATATTTAGCATTTTTCATATATTTAAAAAAATCCTCATATTGATGAACAAATAAAATAAAACAGACTTAAGAGTTGAAGCAAGAGATGAATGAAAAACAACTCTAATTTACAAATATATTTGAGCCTACTCCTTTTCAGATAGCATAAGTGTCTGTACACGCTGAGGCATTCCTTGTTGTTTAAAAAGTATGTAAGCATATTTTTATGCTTAAAAAGTATGTAGCATAGTATGCAGATAATAATTTCTAATGAAGGCTGGCAGTCTGCAGCTTTTAGACAGGACAGAGGTCATAGGAAATAAGGTCACCCCTCGTTTTAGAAGAATGCTCAGCATCATTTGACAAAATTCAGCTTCCATTTCTAAACTAATGATTTTGACTTTCAGGCTGAAGTGTAAAAGACTATTTGTAGCCACTTAAAATGGCATAATTGCAACCCTGAAAAATTGTGTATGTCCCAGAGGTTACATAAGTGTTGGTAAGGTATTATAGTGGTTGCTATGGCAATACCTTATATTTTATTGATTAACAGTAAATAGTCCTGAAAATCTGGTGGCAAGGAAGGGAAGCTGCTGTTTCACTGTACATCTTGTCATCCAGGTTATGTGCTAATTATTAATTAAAATCATGCCTTTTACTAAAAATTAAGTTTCAAAACTTAAATTAAAGCAAAAAAAAACTAATATAAATGATTGTTATGTAAAGTTATTTTAATTGTTTAATAGTTTAATCTGATAAGAATAACATTTTAAAAGCAAAATTAATAAAATGCTCTTTAGAGGATATATTCTATACTATACTAAACCAACACTGGAACACTGAGAATTTATTAATAGTCAACTACACTTCTTCACTAAAAACTTTTCAAAGAGTTTGAAACAATTAACAATTTTAGTGTCATTGCTACTTGTATCAGATGCTGAATAAATGTTCTCATTGTTTAATGATCTATATATCCTGTATTTCAAATGTTTCAGAGTAATATTGTTATGCCAAAAAACTTAGCAAAACTCCCATCTGTTGACAGAAGGAAGCAAAATTAAAAAAAAAAAACCTTTTAATCCTGCCCAGGTTCTTTGTTTCCAATGAGTACAACCAATACCAAAAGCAACACAATACAACAAGGTTTATGGATTCATATTTTGAATAGAGTTATCCCTAAAATACATTTCTTAGTTTCAACACAACTAATTAGATACACCTTTCTGGCCAACATGACTTACTCAATTAATGTAAACAGAGAGAGAGCAATCATTAATTATCTAATACTTTCTTGCACTAGAAAAAAAGAAATAGAAGGTGGGTCATAAATGTTCTTGGGTTGTTTTTGGTTATGTAATTTCATGTCTTCAAATAATTAGATTTTGATCTATTCCTGGATTTCTGGCATTTTATCATTTTTAGTCCACTTTAGCATTATATTGCATTCTCTATGCTTAGAAATGGACGAATTACACTTAATTAGATTGGAACGTTTACCATAAGGTTTGTTAAACCTAATATTTATCATGATTACTTGTGAAAAGTACTTTCAATGCAAGCATGAAAAGAGCTTATATTCCTGTTCATATATGAACTCTCTCAGGTTCAGCTGGCCCTTAATTCCATGTTCCCAAAGTACCCTTTCAACAGAAATTCAACAGTATGTATTCCAGCAGCATATACAAAGTTTCAGTTTGCTTAGAAAACTAGTTTAATATTTACTTTAGAATTCTTCTATTTTATAAATAAAGGAAAGTCTCAGCCAAGATTTTGCAGTTCCCTGCTGTCTCTCCAACAAAAGATTTCTAATTTGTCTTTTTCTGCTGCACCTGTTCCTTTTCTGTTGAAGATCCCTGCCTTGTTCTCTCATGCTGATCTAGCTTCCCTTATGAGCCACGGTAGCCATAAAATAGGACATGGACTATTAACACCTAAAGCAAGATATGGAAAATTGGGCAGCTCTACTGGACTGTGGCAGCTTATCTTAGATAGATGTTTGTTTGCTTTTAAACGTATGGTTTTGTAATGTCAATTGTATTGATATGTAATATAATGCTGCAAATATATTACTACTGTATGATATAAATGTTAATATGGCCAAAATTCAAATTAGCTACAAAATATATAACCTTCAGTCTACATATAGATCTTTATATGCAAGAATCAAATATTCTCTTTTAAACTGGGAAATGTTTGTTCTGTGCAATTTATTACAAGGCAGCATTTTGTAGCATAAAATAAGATGGATAATATAAATTAAAAAAGAGTATCCTTCAGGAACAACAATTTCAACATTCGAAACAATAATTGCAGCATATTCAGTCCTAGTTTTTATAATTTGGCTTGTATGCAATTAAATTATTATTATTGCCTTCCATTCATGATTTTCATTGAATATTTTGTTTAAAAATTAAGATCTATGTATATAGTTATAGTTATGTAACATCCATGTAAAACATTGACAAAGGTCACTTGTCACAAATTTATTTATTTATTTATTTATTTATTTATTTATTTATTTATTTATTTATGAATTTATATACCGCCCTTCTCCCCTAGGGACTCAGGGCGGTGAACAGCCGAAATTAAAATACATACAATATAAAAGTTAAGATAGCTAAAATAAATTAAATCAATTGGCCCCCAATTTAAAACCCCAAAGCTATACAATTAAAAACTAACCAATAAAAAACCTAATTAGGCTAGGCCGGCTTGCTGAAATAGAAATGTCTTCAGGGCCTTACGGAAAGTGCAGAGATCCGGGATCAGTCGTATTCTGGGAGGAAGCTCATTCAGAGGGCAGGTGCCCCCACAGAAAAGACTCTCCGCCTGGGGCCCGCCAGCCGACATTGCTTGACCGATGGCACCCTGAGGAGGCCTTCTCTGTGAGAGCGTATTGGCCGGTGGGAGGTTATCAGTAGCAGAAGGCAGTCTCGTAAATACCCTGGCCCTAAGCCATGGAGCACTTTAAAGGTGAGAACCAACACTTTGAAGTGCACCCGGAAGACCACCGGGAGCCAGTGCAGCTCGTGCAGGAGAGGTGTTACATGGGAGTGCCATGTCGCTCCCATAATCACCCGCGCGGCCACATTCTGGACCAGTTGGAGTCTCCAGGTGCTCCTCAAGGGGAGCCCCATGTAGAGAGTGTTACAGTAGTCCAGGCAGGAAGTGACGAGAGCATGAGTGACTGTGCATAAGGAATCCCGATTCAGAAAGGGGCGCAACTGGCGTATCAGGCGAATCTGATAAAAAGCCCCCCTGGCCATGGCTGTCATATGCTCTTCTAAAGACAGCCGTGTGTCCAGGAGGACGCCCAAGTTGCGAGATCCCTCTGTGGGGGTCAATGGCTCGCCCCCAATAGCCAGCGATGACACCAGCTGACTATATCGGGATGCCGGCATCCACAGCCACTCGGTCTTGGAAGGGTTGAGTTGAAGCCTGTTCCTCCCCATCCAGACCCACACAGCCTCCAGACACTGGGACATCACTTCAAGAACATCATTGGAGTGGTTTGGGGTGGAGATGTACAGCTGAGTATCATCAGCATACAGATGACACCACACCCCAAATCCACGGATGATCTCACCCAGCAGCTTCACATAAATGTTGAACAGGAGTGGCGAGAGGACCGACCCTTGCGGCACCCCACAAACAAGGTGCCTCGAGGTCGACCTCTGCCCCCCTGCCAACACAGACTGCGACTGGTTGGAGAGATAGGAGGAGAACCACCGCAAGAAGGTGCCTTCCACCCCCAATCCCTCCAGGCAGTGCAGCATGACACCATGGTCGATGGTATCAAAAGCCGCTGAGAGGTCTAATAGGACCAGAACAGAGGAGCAACCCCTGTCCCGAGCCCTCCAGAGATCATCAACCAATGCGACCAATGCCGTTTCCGTGCTCTACCCAGGCCTGAAGCCGAACTGGCATGGATCTAGATAGATGGTTTCATCCTGGTACTGCGGGAGCTGTTGCGCAACCACACTCTCAACAACCTTTGCAATAAAGCGAAGGTTGGAGACAGGATGGTAATTTGCCAAAATAGCCGGGTCCAGAGAAGGCTTCTTGAGAAGGGGCCTCACCACCGCCTCTTTCAAGGCGGACAGCAAGAAACCCTCCCCCAGAGAAGTATTTATAATCCTCTGGAGCCAGCCTCGCGTAACCTCCTGGGTAGCCAGTACTAGCCAGGAGGGTACTGGGTCCAATAAACATGTGGTTGCGTTTAACCTCCCCAGAATCCTGTCCACGTCCTCAGGAGTCACAGGATCGAACTTGTCCCAGATAACATTCTCAAGACCCGCCTCAGACACCCCGCCAGAATCTACCCAGTCAGAGTCCAAGCCTTCCCAAATTTGAGCGATTTTATCATGCAGATACTGTGCAAATTCCTCAGCCTGCCCTTGCAAGGGGTCCTCCCGTGCTCCCTGATGTAGGAGGGAGCGGGTCACTCTAAACAAGGTGGCTGGGCAATTATCTGCCGATGCAATAAGAGCAGAAAAGTAATTACACTTTGCCGCTTTTATCGCCACTAAATAGGTCTTAATATGAGACCTAATTAGTGTTCGGTCAGATTCGGAATGACTGGCCCTCCAACCACTCTCTAGGCATCTTTTCTGGTGCTTTATCTCCCTC